GGCTGTTCTCCTCCCTGGACGGGGCCGTGGGGGTGAGCGGCAGTCCGGGCTGACCTCCACCGGAAGCAAAGCCACGGGCCGCGTCTCAGGGAAGCCGCTGGAATAACAGGTCTCCCCGCTTCCAAAGCACAGTGACGTCTAATAAACCCTCGGGAGACAGCACAGAGCCCCCGCTCCTCCGTTGGCTTCCACACTGCTTTCCCCTCTCCAGACTAACAAAAAAGGGAGATTGCATGCAATGCCCAGCCCTTACACCAGCTCAGCGGCAGGCCAACAGACCAGAGACACCTTGCAAAAAAGACTTAGGAATTCATCCATTTAGTAGCAGAGGAAGTAGACATTCAGGAGAGAGCCGGGAGGGTGTGTGAAGGTGTGGCCAAGTCCACGGCCTCAAGGACAGCAGGGGGCGGGGGTGAGGCACAGCGGAAGAGACCTGAAGAAGCAGAAGACAACTCCACAGGAGCCCTGGAATCTTAGGAGCTTGACAGAACATGAGATCGGTAATCAGAAGTCAGAGAGTAGATGGCGGGACAGCAGAACGAGAGCAAGGTTTAGGAGCTGAGAAAACACAGTTCCTCAAAATCACGCCGTCGCTAGAACAAGAAACAGTGAGGGGCAGGATGTCGGGCGACTAACAGGGACGGCTGTGCGGTCCAGTGGGGAGCGGGGGAGAGGTAATAAACATGACATTACGGGCCTTGAAGACAAAGTGATGAGGGTCAGGGGACAGGGTGATCATAGTGAGGGCACTGTTTGGAGAGGCTGGGACATTGCTGAAGGAGGGACCCATGGGAGTCCAACGGTGGGTGAAGTGGCCCAGAGGCCACTCGACAGGGCTGCGTCCTTGTGCAGGGCCTGGAGAGTCCCGAGTGACCTGAGCTGACCTCTGGTGAGGGATGGGAGAAGCAGCAGCAGATGTGGAGGCAAGAGGCCTCAGAGGAAGGCACACGGTGCCAGAGGCCGTGCACGGTTAGATAAAACACTCAGAGACTCACTACAGGAAAGTTCCCCTGGAGTCACCTGGGAGCCTCCAGGACCACGGTGGGGTGCAAGTCACACGGAGACCCACCTCGCCTGCTTACTGAACTTCAGGGATTCTTAGAAGTGTTTTTCAGAGAAAGCATGTCACATACAAAAACAAAACCCCAAGTTGGCCCTGCTCTCTCCAGCAACATTCAAAGCCTGAAGAGCAAATTGCGAGGGTAAGAAAGCTAAACTGAAGAATCCTGCCCCAGCCAAGTTCTCACGCGGGTTTAAAGGCCTCAGGGAAACATTTTTAAACCTAGAAGAACCTGAGAAATAAAGTTCTTTAAAAATGTGAAAGCTGACCTTTAAGACAGCCAATAAAGATGTAATTGAAACGAAGACTGAGTGGGCAGGTGCTGGCGGTGAGCTCGGCCCCCCAGTGGGATGCGGATATGACACGTGGAACGCAGGGGACGGGAGTGACTTTGCAAGGTGGGCCGGGGCCAGAGGGGAGGTGCCGGCACCCTTCACCGTTCAAAGCCCGGCATCGGATGGACGCACACCACCCAAACCCCAGTGACACCCATCTCTCAATGTTTGTTGTAACTTCTAAAAATAATCTTAGCAAAATCTTGTAAATTTGGGGTGAAGAAGCGTTCATCTAATTTCAGCGATCATGTTTTCCCTTAAAATTAAATTTTTAAAAATTTGAAAGAATTCTACACTTATTCTGTATTTTTTTTAAGATTCTTTTTTTGATGTGGACCATTTTTAGTCTTTATTGAATTGTTACAATATTGCTTCTGTTTTATGTTTTGGTTTCTTGGCCACGAGGCATGTGGGATCTCAGCTCCCCGACCAGGGATCGAACACGCACCCTCTGCATTGGAAGGCGAAGTCTTAACCACTGGACAGCCAGGCAAGTCCCTATTCTGTATTTCCATATATCCTCTCGCCTCTGCCTAGGCCTTTAGAAATATCTGAACAACCTCCACCTAATGTCGACAGCGGTCCTCTCGATGATGAAATTGTGGGCGAGATTTTTAAACTTTATTGTTGGATTGCTGAATAGTGAGCAAGTGTTCTTGTAAAGCCAATGAACTCATTTTTTTCAACTGGCAACACTGGGCAGTGACTGTCTGTGGCCCTCAGTAGGGCACGAACTACACACACCTCCCAGGCGCCCTGCCAGCCCTTGGGGGGGGTGGCGGGGCGTGCCCTGTGGGCTGGGCTGGGGGGCTCCCTTTTCTGCCTGGGGTGTCCAGAGTGGCCTCTGCTCCTGCTCTGAGCCCACCTGATCCACGAGAACAGGCGGGTGCTAGGGTACAAGGGAGACCACACAGGAGGGTGGCCGTCCTCTCTGCCACAGGAGAACCTAAGCAGACCCCCGGCCCGGGGGTGTCACTGTGAGTCTGGGGAGGTGCATTGCTCCTCCTAGACTTCAGGAAGGGACCTCCCGGTTGGGAAGCAGAGTAAAGGGACACTGCAATGTCCACTGTCAGCAGTGACTGGGGGCAGTGTCCTAACCAGAGTGGTGCTGTCTGACCTGTCTGCTGGGTGACACCCTCCTCTCATCCGGGTTCCCAGGCCCCCTTAGACCCTCCTCTCTTCCAGGGGCTCCCAGCTGGGTCACTGGTGACGTTGGGACCGGTCATTCTCAGCTGGGGGTGGGGGGGGCGGCGTCCTCTGCTCTTGGGATGTTGTGCAGGCCCCAGCCTCCAGCCACTCGATGCCAGAGTGCCCCTCCCTCCGACATGTCACATCTTCACCCCAAACCTGTGGCCGTGCTGGGTTACGTGGCAAGGGGGGAGTTGAGGTTGCTAACCAGGTGGCCTTAAAATGCTATCCTGGGGTGTCCAGGCGGCCCATCATCACAGGGTCCTTAAAAGCGGAGGACGAGGTGCTGCGCTGCTGGCTTTGGAGATGGAGGACGGGGCCCCGAGCCAAGGTGTGCGGGCGTCCCGAGGAGCTGGAGAAGGCTGGAGCCCCCGCAGGAAGGCAGCCCTGCCCACGCCCTCGTCTCAGCCCAGCGAGACCCGTTTCAGACTCCTACAGAACTTAACGTCCATGGATTTGTGTGAAGACACTAAGTCTGCGGAAACTTGTTAGGGCAGCGATAGGAAGCCAACACGCCCAGGGTGACGACGAAACCATCTCCGGCACTGCCACCCGTCCTGGGGCTCCACGCCTTACTGGAGCGGGCCACGGGCTCCACCAGGGGAGCCCCGCGACTTCTGCTGCTGTGGTGGTCCCAGAGGGGGAGACCTGGTGCAGAGGAGAGGCCCTGAGACCACTCGCAGGACAGAGGGCCGGCCAGCCCAGCATCCTGGACCCACCCCATCCGACTGCGGCCTCATGAGACACCCTAAGTGAGACCAAGAGACCTGCAGGGTGAGCCCAGTGAGGCCCTGGCCACGAAGTCCTTTAAGGCCGCTTGGGGCAGAGAACTCCACAGCACTTGTCACCTCTATCGCAACTGTTGGCACTTCAGCATGGGAGGGGGTCCTCCTGGCCAGCACGGAGCCTGGCCCAGAGCAGGTTCTGGCCTTTGACACCTATCCCCACTTCACCAGGGTCCCTGAGGAGGAGGGGGAGGGAGTCGCGGTGTCCCCCAGGGCCCAGCCTACCCTCACGTCCACCCTTCTCCCCCACGTCTTAGGACACCTCCCCCAGCCCCAGCCTCCACCCCACATCCCTGCGGCCCACCACTAACCCTAGGGGTCTAGGGATCCTGAGAAAGGCACAGGCCTGGAACAAGATTACACTCAGGGGACCCCAGAGACAACGGGGTGGGGGCCTAGCTGCATGATCTTGGAAGGCTTCCTGGAGGAGGGGCCTGAGCTGAGGCCAGGATGGGCAGGTGGGGTCGCAGCACCTCAGCAGCTGGCTCTGGGAGGGAGGCAGAAACCCGGGCGTTGCCCTCACCCTGGGCCTGGGGGCGGGGGTTGATGACCTCATCCTGCCCAGAGCCCCCCTCCCTCACGGCCACCCACACACGCTGCCCCCAGTCAGCCCCTGAGTGTCAGTCACCAAGTCCGGGGGATGGCGCCGCACCTGCCGCCCTCCTTCCACCCCGCCCCCCACGGGCTGGGAGCCTATCATCACCTCCCTTCTTCCCCTCCTCCCACTTCCTCTTCCCCTCCAGCTTGGTCTCCCCAAAATGCAGCCCCATGTTACCCCCAGCCCAGAACCCACCCACCCACCCCTCAACCTCGGGGCACAGGCAGACACCGTGGCAGGCCAGGGCCAGCTCCTCGCAGCTGCCCCACCCTGCCTTCTCAGGCCCTGTTCCGCTACAAGCTCCCTGTGCGGAGACGGGTGGCATCACCTCCTCCAGGAAGCCTCCCTCTGTGTTGGGAACCTCCTTGGCTCCCGCAGGCTCTGGGCTTCTCCCCATCACGGCATCACCCCCGAGTTACACGTGCCCCTGGGGGCCTCCTGGAGAGGCAGTGCTCCTGGCCTGGGCGGGCACCAGTACCAAGCAGTTCATGACCAGAACCTCCTCGCTCCCGGAAGATCGCTGGTCCCACCTCACTGCCCCCTGCAGGCAGGCACCCAGCTCCCCAAGGGGCTAGGCTCCCCAGCCCAGACCCCTTCTACCCAGGCCAGCTAAGGGGCTGTCCATGAACCAGGCCCCGAAGTGGGGACTGCCAAGGCCTCACCCCCCCCCCCAGGCCACCCACAGTGGCCTGTCTCCAGGATGACGGCCCCTGGGGGGAGTGGGCAGCCTCTCCTGGCAGCCCAGAGGGCCGTCTTGGAGGGCCACCCTGCTCTGTCCCTCAGGCCCCGCCAGGTGGCCTCTAGGAGATTGGGCTGGGGCAAGTCACCCCAACCGGAGCTGGTCTCCAAGGCCTCAGGGGTGAGTGTTCTGAGGAGAGGGCAGCCAGACGTCCTCCCAGGCCTGTTTTCTCATCCCTGGGCTGGTCATGACTGTCTGGTGGGCACTGGGGAGGGCGCAGGAGCCGTGCGCCCCAGACCTGGCAGGCCGCCTCCCCAGGACCCACAGGAAAGGCACCGAAGACAGACACGCGGGGCTGAGTCGTCTATTAGGAGGGCGGCGACCTCGAGGCCTGGGCCTCCAGAGTCACGTTGTGCCAGAAAGGCGCGCTCCGGACCAGGAAGGCTTGGAAGGCGCTGCTGGACTCGGCGGACCTCGGTGGATGGGGTAAGAGCACGCCCTTGTCCTCGTCCTGGGACACCAGCTGGGCCACGATCTGCGCGAGGTCCTGCGTGGACGGCGGGGTCAGGGGGCAGGGCGAGCAGGGCGGGGCGGGGCAGGACAGAACGCTCGGCGCACCCCGCCCTGCGCACCCTGTAGGAGAGGGTCGCCCCGGCGAGGCCCGGCCTCTCGCCGCCACCCAGCACGGCCAGCCTCCAGCGCTCGTCTATGCTGACGTTCCAGCGGCGGCTGGGGGCCTGCTCCCCTGCGTCTCGCACACCTGCGGGGACAGGGCAGGGGTCCGCGCCGGCCGCGCCTGGGGGTCCCGCACCCGCCTCGCGGAGGGGGACGCTTCCAAAGTGCTGTGTGCTCAGCCTCCCCAGTGCCGGCGGGCGGGCAGGTCCTCAGCCTCTGGTCCTGGGGCCTTCCGTGGCCGTGCCCGGTGGCTCGGCCCCTGGGCACCCCGGCCGGCACCTGCCCTGCCTTCCCATGCACGGGTCGGCCCCCTGGATGCTGGGGGCCATTACCGCGGAGGTCGTGGCCCTCCGGCTGCTGCCCGGTCCTGGCCGGGCAGAGCTAGCCCACACTCTGGGGAGGCCCCAGAACAGGCAGCCAGACTGCGGCCGCCTCAAGAAAGGCGGACCCAAAGGTCAGCCTCCTCCCCAGACCCCTCTAAAATGACCATAAAGAGGCGTAGGGTGGAAAATATCGCTCAGGTGTCCACAGGGACACAGGAACAGGCAGTGAGGCACGGGTGTTAGAGGGCTGTCGGCAGAGGCTGGAAAGCGGTTACTAACTGGGAAAGACCAGAAGTGCACTGCACCCCTGCAGGAACCCTCCCCCCAGGGAGAACTTCCCAGGCGGGCTGTCCGTGAAAGACCCTCAGAGCCTCTCCTGCTCTGCCCAGCCAGGGAGCCATCCCATTGCCTCCCTGGGGGAAGCCAGGAGGTCACCCTCTGGAGTGCCACGGGGGGCAGGGAAGGGTGCCATGCCAAAAATAAAGAGAGGATTAAGACAAACTCAGCCTCCATTCCTCAAAAATTAAAAACAGAGCTACCATATGACCCAACAATCCCACTTCTGGGTATACATCCAAAGGAATCGAAAGCAAGTCTCAGAGAGCTATTTCTGTACTCATGCTCATAGCAGCGTTATTCACCGTAGCCAAAAAGTGGCTGCAACCCAAACGTCCATCAACGGATGAATGAATGAGCCTAATGTGGTCCATCCACACAATGGAATATTATCCAGCCTTAAAAAGGAAGGACATTCTGGCACAGGCTGCGATATGTGTAGTGAAACGAGCCAGTCACAGAAAACACAAATATTGTTTAGTCCAGGGATCCCCAGCTCCCCCACCCCTGCCACAGGCTGCACAGCAGGAGGCGAGCGAGCCCCTCCCCATCGCTCTCATTACTGCCTGAACCACGCCCCCCCCCGCCCCCCGTCGGTGGAGAAATTGTCTTCCATGAAACCGGTACCTGCACCAAAAAGGTTGGGGACCGCTGTTTTAGCCCACTCGTACGAGTCACCTAGGGTCATCAGATCCGTAGAGTCAGAACATGGAATGCTGGCTGCCAGGGCTGGGCGAGGGCGAGGTGCTGCTTCAGGTTTGCAAGATGGAAAAGTTCTGGAGATGGGTTTCACAACGATGCAAATATACTTAACACTACTGAACCGTACACTTCAAAATGGTTAGGATGCCCCCCCCCAAAAAAAGTGGATACTTGGACCCAGAAACATGCACAGAAGGAGGATGATGTGAGAAGACGGCTGTCTGCAAGTCAAGGAGGGAGGCCTGGAAAAGACCCTTCCCTCGCAGCCCCCAGAGGGAACCAGCCCTGCTGACACTTTGATTTTGAACTTCTTGCCTCCAGACTGCGAGACAATACATTTCTCTTGTTTAAGACAAAGAAAGTGAAGCCCCCAGCCCCTCCTCCCACTCTGCACGAAGAACGGTGGCAGCCTGGCTAAGCTCCCCTTCTGCGCAGGAGAGGGGAGGGGTCCTTTCTGGGGAGAAAGGCCAGTCCCAGAGAAGAGGCCTACAGACACCAAGAGAGGGGGGTGCCCAATGCGGAGCAGCCCAAACCTGCCCGATCACCCCACAAAGAGCGTGACCGCTGGTGAGGCGGCCCCTGGCACACGGAGCCTTCAGCCAGCCCTGCGTGCCCCACTCTTCAGTGTAGACCAAGAGCGGCCCCGCCCCCAACCTGAGAATGTCTCCAGTGTGAAACACAGAGGCCAAACCACCAACCTGGGCAGAAGGAACTCAGAGGACAGGGGGCTGTTACAGGGAGCAGAAGGAAGCCGGCCACCTTCCCCTGTAACTGTTGTTCTCCTGGATCCAATGTACCTATGAAACAAGAAGAGGATGACGTGAAGAAGGGCTGTTCAGAGAACGGGGATGAGCTCTTTCGAGTTAAAAATGCGACGTCAGAATTTAAACTTCTATAGCAGGTGCTGGGGTAGGCTGTTGACCCTAGTTCATCACCCCCTTCCTGTAATCGAATCCTACGCCTCCCCTTTAACGTGTGGCGTCACGCCGGTTCCCACTAGACTATATTTTCCTGCCTCACTGCTGCTGGGCGGGTCCGCAGGGTGCTGACAGCGTTCCCAGTGTAGTCTGAGTGGGCCTCCTGACATTCTGTGTCCGCCCGAGCACAGGCTTCCCTGGGAAGACCTCTGAGGGTGAGCGGCATGGAAGACACACAACCTGCGAACAGAAAAACAAAAGTTTGCTGTTGTGAATCATGGAAATTTGGGAGTTGTTTGTCACGGGGCATCATTACAGCAAATGCTGATAATAGAAGGACGGGCAGCAAAGCCCAAAAAGGCAAGGTAACAAAGTATGAGAAAATGGGAGAGTCAATCACACGGGCCCACGTCCAACTAACAGAGTTTCCAGAAAGAGAGTCAATCACACGGGCCCACATCCAACTAACAGTTTCCAGAAAGAGAGTCAATCGCACGGGCCCACGTCCAACTAACAGAGTTTCCAGAAAGAGAGTCAATCACACAGGCCCACATCCAACTAACAGAGTTTCCAGAAAGAGAGTCAATCACACAGGCCCACATCCAACTAACAGAGTTTCCAGAAAGAGAGTCAGTCACACAGGGCCACATCCAACTAACAGAGTTTCCAGAAAGAGAGTCAATCACACGGGCCCACATCCAACTAACAGTGTTTCCAGAAAGAGATTCAATCGCACGGGCCAACATCCAACTAACAGAGTTTCCAGAAAGAGAGTCAATCGCATGGGCCCACATCCAACTAACAGAGTTTCCAGAAAGAGACAGAGCAGAGAAGATGAACACACACACGCGCACACACGCCACGGAGGGAGCAAGGCTCCAGATTGAAGGGGCTCACACAGGACCGAGAAAGGGAACAGACTGGCACCAGAGGACAGTGTGGTGATATTTCAGAACCAGGGCAGGAGGAGAAACAGCCTGACTTCCAGAGACTAAAAAGCAGGGCACGTGCAAAGGAGGAGAACTCCGCAGGGTCCAGGGCACCAAGCAGCCCCACTGCAAGGTGAAAGCAATGCAACAACGGCCTAAAATCCTGAAAGAAAATTATTTGCCACCGAGAATTTTCACCCAACCAACGTATCACTCAAGTGTGCAGGTAGAATAAAGATATGTTCAAACTTTAAAGTCTCAGGAAATTGAGTGTCTTCAGAGGAGCTGCCTTCTGAGGAGCTGCGAGATGAGGGGCTCCAGCAGACAAGGGGGGAGCTGGCAGGAGGGATGCCCAGGGCCCAGGAACTGGGGTCCCAACCAGGAGCGGCAGGGAGGGTCCCTGGATGAGGCAGGTACAGGGTGGCACAGAGGCAGGGGCGGTGGAACCCCCAGACCTGAGGGGTCGGGTCGTTTGTGAGCCGAGTGTCACAGTTTCTCTGGAAAGTTTGGGAAAGAATCGATAATCAGTGCACAGAAAACGAAGAAGAAGGGGCAGGAGGGCGCGATTATTACCTCCAGGGAAAAAGAGAAGCGGTGGGAGAAGGGTAACCTCGTCACTTTGAGGGAAACTTCCCCACGTTCAGCTGTCGGCAGGCTTCCAGGGGGTCACTGGGGAGCAGACATTCGCAGCAGATTGAGGTAAAAGGATGAGCCGACTCCGGGTCCGGGGAGGGGAAGGTGTCTTCAGGGCAGGTGCGGCCCGCAGTCCCTGTGGGGGGCGCCGGCAGATGCGGGCAGCTGGGCCATGACCCGCAGGGCCAGGCAGGGCTGCTGTTCTCAATTATGTGCCCGCAAGTGGTAATAAAACGGACACAAAATTTTACAAACAGATTGAAGCAATTAAGTAGAGCGACCTAACAGAGAGCACGCACAGGGGACCCACATTCTCACCAGCAAGAGGAACCATCGTGCACACTGGCTGGGCTCCAGGCCACGGGCAGAACAGACTCCCCCGTGGGCCCGACTGGAAACCAGAACAAGGTGCTCCTGTGGGCGCAGATGGGGGAGTGGAAGGGAAACCCAGTCCCCGGGAGGGGCCAGGGAGGACTCCCCCCCGCCAGGAGGGTGGCCAAAGCTGCCCTCTGAAGACATGCGATGGCTTCAAACGCTGGAAGATTAGAAAACAGCCCTGGAACTGGAGGGACAAAGCAAACAACTCAGGGAGCTAGGAAAACAGCAACAAAAGCAGTTCACGGAGAGTTTAAAGACAGAATCGGGAAAGGCTGGTGAATAAATTAAAGTGGAAAAACAGTGGGCAATGATCACAAACTGGTTCTTTGCAAAACCAGTAAAACAGCTACTGCTTCCCTTGCGTCCTCGCCAACTCCACACAGATCTGTCTTTATCATGTTTTTTCCTTTTTTAATTTTAGTTTTATTAGAGCATACTTGATTTACAATGTTTTGTTAGTTTCAGGTGCACAGCAGTGAGTCAGTTATACATATATTCATTCTTTTTCATATAGGTTATCACAGGATATTGAGTAGAGTTCCCTGTGCTCTACAGTAGGTCCTTGATTGTTATCTACCTTGTATATAGTAGTGTGTGTATGTTCACCCCAAGCTCCTGACTTATCCCTCCCCCCAACACGTTTCCCCTTTGCTAACCATATAAATGAACTTATTTACAAGACAGAAACAGAGTTACAGATATTGAAAACAGAAACAATCTTCCTGGAGCGCCAATCACTTCCTTGTTCAAAACCATTCACTGGCCTCTCCCTGGAGTTCTTTGCCCACTTGCCATGTCGTCCCCCTCTTGGGCCCTCATCAGGCTAACTTCTACTCATCCTTTAAGACTCTGGAAGCACGTCTTTGCTCTCCACTCTGCTGCTAGGCTCTACCAGATAGCCCCACTACCCCATCCCCTTCGTATGCGTGTACTGTAGCACTCACTGCCTTAATTGTAACTGTGCCTGCCTCCCTAACCAGGCTGAGGACTTCCTGGGAACAGAGGTATATTTTAACCCAGTCACCTAGCAGAACACCTAGCCCATACTAGCTACTTAGAAACTTTAATTAATTCACGCTTTCTCTGGGTCCAGAAATGTCATTGATCTAAAGCAGAACACAGTCATGACCCAGCCACCTAGATCTGTTC